AGTCCTCACTACATAGGGCTCCTCATTGTTTCACAAGAGAAATTTTGAGAAAGTGGTGACACAAAATGATAACGTTGCTTTTAAGGAAATAAGAAATTATTTTATTCTGAGGCAAACTAAGAAATTAGTCTATTAGTTTTATCATGGCCTTGCTATTACACAGATTCATGTTACTGTTCATAATATGTTCCACCATGGAAGTGCTTTGATGAACTTTTATACCTGTGGAACAAAGACCATGAATCTGTAGGTTTAAMAAATTCTTCACTGGGGTCCTTATGTAGGCAGGTAAGGAGACCTGCTTTATAGTTTTCAGAAATTATCTTGTAGAATTTGTAGCTTTAAGATTGATATAGGGAAGAGGTTGGCTAAGCTTAGTGATATATTTTCATAATATCACAAGTATGTTTGATGAGATTAAATAGTTGAAAATACACAGCTTTTTTTTTTTTTTTTTTTGTATCGGGGATTGAGTTCAGGGGCACCCGACCACTGAGCCACATGCCCAGGCCTATTTTATATTTTATTTAGAGAAAGGGTCACACTGAGTTACTTAGCAACTCGCTTTTTGCTCAGGATCATTTTGAACTCATGATTCACTTGTCTCAGCCACCCAAGCTTGTGCCACCATGCCTGGCAAACACAGCTTTTGAAGGCATGAGATAGCCCAAAATACTTATGTTTCTTGTCATGTGCAATTTTCCTCCCTCCACAGTCATGAGGGTCTGCTTTATCAAGATCTTATACTGTGCAGCATCTCTAATACATATCCCGCTTCAGAGAAGTTCAGCTTTATAGTGGACCCTTTGGGCTAAGTATCAAAGTGTGCATACTGAGCTTGAAAGTCTCAATCATAGCATTTGATAGAGAGTCTGAGAGAAAGGAAGGTAGTCTTCAGGAAAAGGAAATAGTTCTAAAGCCTTCAAGGAAGCAATCCCTGCATGATGTTAGTGATACTAGCCATTGTGAGCTAGTACTCAGCTTTACTCATTTCCATCCTCTGCATCTGACAGCATTCCCCTCCAACATAAAATAGGTATAATATATCCAAAGTACACATGATCAAGATTATACTGTGAAGAAAATGGGTGAATGAATGGTTAGTCATCCAAACCAGGTCAGGATCTGTGAGACAGCATCTGGCAGTGAACCAATGGCCACAGGAGCCTTCTGTGGGAATAGGTGGTTTCTGACCTCAGGAGCAAATGAGACTTAGACAATAGGTCCCTCCTCAAGATATCTCTCTACTGTAGCACCTTGGAAATATTCTTCACCAAAACTTAATATATATAAAGAAAATTATTTGTTCTTTTCAGTTATAGTTGACAGTAGAGTGTGTTTGACATATTATATGTACGTGCAGTGTAACTTTCCATTCTTATAGTTGTACATGATGTGGAGTTACACTGTCATGTATTCATATATGAACATGGGAATGTCAAACCCCATTCATTCTACTGTCTTTGCCATTCCCATCTCTCCTCCCTTCCCTTCATTCTACTACTAAAACTGAGTTTAATAAAATAGTTGAACTCATGAATATTTTAGACCCTTTTTATATAGTTGTTTCCCTAACTATATAGTCTGATTAAAAGCACAAAGTAATATTTCYATAGAGTTGCAAGGTAACCAGAAAGTTTATTAGCCCTTAGTAAAACAGAATAAACAAAAACAACTTCATGGCCATTTGTGAAGCTTAYTATTCTTCAATATTAAGAATACCATGCTTTTTTTTACCATGCACGGTGGCGCATGACTGTAATCTCAGTGCCTAGGCGTGTRGGGGCGAGGCTGGGGCAGGAGGATAGTGAGTTCAAAGCCAGCCTCAGCAATGGTGAGGTTCTAAGCAACTCAGTGAGACCCTGTCTATAAATAAAATACAAAATAGGGCTGGGGATGTGGCTCAGTGGTCAAGTGCCCTGAGTTCAATTCTGGGTACCTTCCCCAAAAAAGTATTCTGTTTTTGGCATACTAAAGCCTGTTCTTATTGTTTGTTTTGTTTTGGGTACCAGGGATTCAAACCAGGGATTCTCCTCCACTGAGCACATACCCAGTCCTTTTTATTTTGTATTTTGAGACAGTGTCTTGCTGAGTTGCACAGGGCCTTGCTGGATTGCTGAGGATTGCTTGGAACTTGTAATTCTCCTGCCTCAGCCTCCCAAGATGCTGGGATTACAGGTTTACACCACTGCACCCAACTTAAAGACTTTTTTAAAAAATTGAAATAGTTTTAAGTATCTCTAAACATAAAAGAAAACCAAAAATGATTAGAATATGCTGTATTAGTTTATGTTTGATTATGCTACTAGGTAAAATACTATGTAAATGAATACAGTAAATAGAAACATTAAAATAAGTAAACAACACCAGACATGGTGGTGCACACCTTTATCGCAATGGCTGTGGACACTGCTGAAGCAGGAGGACTTCAAGTTCAGAGCCAGGCTCAGGAACTTAATGGGGCACTGAGCAAGTCAGTGAGACTCTGTCTCTAAATGAAATTTAAAATATCATGGGTGATGTGCCTCAGTGGTTAAGCACCCTGATTCAATCCCTGGTACCACCCCAAAAAAAAAATTTCAATTTAAATACATCAGAAAGCTTTAAAATCCCTTTCACTAGTCTATAAGTTTGTGGTTTTCTGTATTTCATAACATTGATTTTTTTTATAACTGGAAACATCTGCTCTAATTTGTTGTGATTTCCTGACTTTGGACTAAAGTTCTGAGCAAAGAATGCTCCCAGCTCTATACTGGGCAACTTCCTGCTTCGCATCCTGAGAACTGTTGATGAAGTATTTTCCTAGGACATATCTGTCTGATCTCAGATTTTGTCAGCAACAGAAAATCAAAAATTAAGCCTTTCTTCAAAGCAAGTTCAAACCATGCCTATGTCTGCACTACTTTCAGAATTTGCTGCTGGCTTCCACACTTATTCTCCTGTGTTTTGAGTGTCTCCTGTAGAAGATACAGCATCTTTGTGCAGATTAAAAAAGTGTCCACCTTACAAACATATTTGGGATAAGGGATCTGAAGTCATAAAGTTAGGAGGTCTGAAAATTTGTGTCAGCCCTGGGAGTCAAGGGTTGTGGTTCATCAGAAAATTTAGTTTCACGATTGAATCATTTCAACTTCTTGGTATGTGTGCCTACACAGATGGAGTAATAAGTGATTTGGAATGTCTCTTCCTGCTGGTTCCTATATCATACCTGAAATGTACAGCTTAAMTGAACTATGACCAATCCATGACTAAGCCTAACTTTGGTAACTCAGGAAATTAAATGAAACCACTTGTTAAACTAACTTCTTGTCCTTTGTTCTCTATAGAACCAGACCCTGTGGATACCATCTTAGGACACTGATTCTAAGCACCTGGAATTCCTGTTTTCCTGTTATCATCCTCAATATTGGCTCAAGTAACCAGCTTGTCTTACGTGGTTTTGTGAGATTGTGTTACAGTTTGACAAAACTTTCCTTGAGAAGATGCAGCCTTGAGACAGACCCTGCCTTGAAAGAAGAATGCAGGTGGCATTTCCTCCTAGGCTCCATCTGGTGAGACAGGAGCATTGACTGAGGGTGGAACTGACCACTCCCTTCCTTGGGCCACAGAGGATTGGGATGTGCACATGCCTTCCCGAGATACCTTCTTTAATTGTGGAAGTCCTGGTCCCCTCCTTCAGTCTCCTGTGCTGTTACTAACAGGGCTGTTCCACTTCACACTGGTGGGGCCAACTGATGAGGAAGGCAAGGTTGAGAGGCAGTAGTGACACAGCCAGCCTTGGTGCAGGTCTGAGTCAATGTCTTTATTGTCAGAAATGGTCCATACTTCAACTTAGGATGGACCACAGCCAGGGGGGGATACACACTCCTGAGAATACCTGCCTCAAAATCATCATTTCCCCTACTAAATTTGTGCTGTTGAAGTTAATAATAAAAAAAGAAAAACTAGGTTTATGATTTGATTGAGAAAACTCAGTGGTTTTCCTGGGGACACATTTTGGCATCTGAGTCATCAGCTTCCTTTTGAAAATAAGGGTTGGCTCACCAAGACTTGCCCAATAACACTTCAAATCTCTCCTCAATATATTCATCCCTCTGTGTTTCCAGATTAAAAACTAATTGTTGTGACCTTTGACCAGTGTTACTCACTTTATTCCATTAAAATCATGACTTCAACCCTTTAATGTCAGGTCTAAAATCCTATAACCATGCATCCACAATTCACTCTGTGAGTGTCTGTCAAAGTGACAGCCTCCAGGCTGAACTGCTTCCTGAGTGAAGGAGCATGAGTGATGAGTGAGCTGTGGATTAGAACACTACTTCTTAAAGTCTGACTTCTTAAACACTGACTATGATCCCAATCAGCATGCTTATCTGAACAATTTTAACAAGAGTCTTTAATGCACCTTGGTTTGAAACAACTGGATAGAAGAATGACTGTAGTTTTATCCCTGATGAAAAGTGGTTGCCCACGTGTGTGGCAATATCTCTGGTTATATAAAGTCTTTCATAAGAATGTAAAGAAAGTATYGATTTATTGTTCCAAGTGTAAAAAAAGAAGAAAGCCATCAAATATTTTCACACGATTCGTGCCTCTCCAAAAGGAGCATAAATAATGATGCTTGGATCTGATCCTGCCATGTCAGATTGGCTTTCTACAGGGTTTGGTGGGCCATGGCATAGCATCCTACTCTGCGTTCTTGTGTCAGAGAATCCTTCTGGAGTGGACACTGAAGCATTGGAAAGATACAGTGGCATCCCAGATGGGAATGCCATGTGAGTGCAAGATGGTGGATCATCGGCCTACCTGGGTGAGGTCTTCCATCGGCTTCAATGCACAGACCTGAAAGGAGGTCTGATAAGAAAAGTAATTGAATGGAGCATTTTTCTAAAAAATTTTGAAACTCTCAATTATATTTTACAACAAGCTGTAATCAGTTAAAGTAGATGAGGGGCCACAAAATTTTAGTGATTTTAGTGATCCTAGTCCTTCCTTTATCTGACCACTGAAGGCACTTTCCTGACCAAACAAAATGGGGTTTGTTCTAATCAGCCTAGTGGACTTCTAGATTCATAATTTTACCCAGTGATAGTTCATGAACATAAGCTCCCAGGTACAACACATTTTTTTAGTCATGAGGCTTCTTGTTTATTTAGTTTTATTAAGTTGTGCTACTGATGAAACCTAGTGCCTCACCTGTGCTAAGCAAGCACTCTACCACTGAGCTACAACCCCAGCCCCACAACACGTTTTTAACACAAAGATATCCCTGCATTTTCCTCTTTAGCATACTATCTTGTGTGTGTGTGTGTGTGTGTGTGTGTTTGTGTATGTAAATGGTGGTACCAGGGATTGAACTCAGGGGCACTCAACTGCTGAGTCACATCCCCAGCCCTATTTTGTATTTTATTTAGAGACAGGGTCTCACTGAGTTGCTTAGCACCTTACCTTGCTTTTTGCYGAGGGTGGATTTGAACTCATGATCCTCCTGCCTCAGCCTCGCAAGCTGCTGGATTGCAGGTGTGTGCCACTGCACCCAACACACCCAGTATATTTCTTTGCATGKAAATTATCTTTATSTTGGTGCAGTTTAAAAAATATAATTCATCCCTGATCAACCAAATCAGCAGCCAGGAGCATTGGCATTGCTCTATATCTCCTCCTCCATCCCCTCCACCTCTGCCTCCACTCCCCCTCCTCCAACTCCTCCTCCTAACCCCTCCCTCTCCCCTCCTCTACCCTTTCCTCCCCCTTCTCCATCCTCTTCCAATTCCTCCTCCCCTTCCTCCACCTCCACTCTCCCCTCCTTTTCCTCTTCTACCCCTCCTCCTACCCCTTCTTCCCCTGCTCCACTCAGTTCCTCCTTCTCCACTCCCTTCCTTCTCCCCTTCTTCCTCCTCTTCCAACTCCTTCCTCCTCCTCCCTCTTTCTTCTGCACCCCCTCCTTCTCCTGTACCCCAATTTTCCTYTAATAGAACAACCTGAATTAATTTCAGACAAGAAGCCTAAAAGAAACATAGAATAAAATGTTGAGTCCCAATACAATACTGACTCTAATTACATGGAAGGGGAAACTCTAAAATTATAGGCATTAAAGTTAAAACTCATTACTTACTTCCACTTAAATGCTACTGGATGTCTAACATGAAAACTCTGGTTTGTCACCTGACTTCCCAATCAGGAGGGTTGTGAGGACCCAAGAGAACAAGGAGTCAACCAGTATACACTCTGCAAAGAGAGTCACTGGAGAGGGAAGACACATGTGTTCAGCAAGAGCCTGACCCAACCTGGCAGATGGCACAACATGTAGAGGAAAGCTAAAGGAGCCAAGAAGGGCTGGTCATGGTGGCACTTACCTGTAATTCCAGTGGCTTAGGAGGCTGAGGCAGGAGGATTGCAAGTTCAAAGCCAGCCTCAGCAAAAGCAAGGTGCTAATAAACTCAGTGAGACCCTGTCTAAATAAAATACAAAACAGGGCTGGGGATGTGGCTCAGTGGTTGAGTGACCCTGAGTTCAATTTCCCAGTATCAAAAAGATAAAAAAAAAAAAAAAAGCCAAGAGGCTTCTCACAACTTGCCAGTGAACCCTGAGGAATCTCACCTGACATTAACAATATAAGAACAAGGTCTGTTTTTTATGAACCTGATGTTAAGCACCTGGCAGTAATATATAACCAAAGCACAATCATATATGTACATTCAACAGGTAGTCAATATTTTTCTTTCTTCTTTTTAAAATTTTTTGTTTTAATTAGTTATATGTGACAGTAGAATGCATTTATGCACTTTGACATATCATGCATAGATGGGATATAATTTCTCATTTTTCTGATTGTACATGTTGCAGAATCATATTGGTCACACAGTCACATATATACATATAGTAATAATGTCTGATTCATTCTACTACCTTTTTAAAAATATATTTATTTTTTAGTTATAGGTGGACACAATATCTTTATTTTTATGTGGTGCTGAGGCTTGAACCTGGTGCCTCATGCATGGTAGGTGACCACTGTGCCTCTGAGCGGCAACCCCAGCCCTCATTCTACTATCTTTCCTATCCTCACATGCCCATCCCTCCCCTCCCATCATTTCCTGCTACATAATCTAAGATAATGTTATTCTTCCCTAGTGCCTCCTGCCTTACTGTGAATTAGCATCCACATATTAGAGAAAATATTTAGCCTTGGATTTTGTGGGATTGGCTTATTTCGCTTAGCATAATATTCTCCAACTTCAACCATTCACTCAAAAAAGACCAGAGACCCTACACCTAATAAAAAGTAGGCATAAACCTTCACAATGTTGACTTCCTTAACAAAACTCCTAAAACACAAGAGGTAATATCAAGAATCAATAAATGAGATGGATTCAAACTAAAAAGCTTCTTCTCAGAAAGGAAACAATCAAAAAGTTGAAGCAAGAGCCTACATAGGGCTAGGGAGATAGCTCAGTTGGTAGAGTGCTTGTGTCACTTGCACAAGGCCCTAAGTTCAATCCTCAGCACCAAAAAAAAAAAAAAAAAGAAAGAAAAATTGAAGACATAACCCTCAGAATGGGAGAAAATCTTTCCCACCCACAGAGAGCAAATTAATCTCTAGAGTATCTAAAGAACTCAAAAAATCTTAACACCAAAAAATCAAATAACCTAATCAATAAATGGGCTAATGAACTAAACAGACACTTCACAGTACAATATATGCAATCAATCAACAAACATGTAAAAACTGTTCAACATCTCTACCAATTACAGAATGCAAATCAAAACTAAGATTTCATCTCATTCCAGTCAGAATGGCATTCATCAAGAATACAAACAATAAAAAATGTTGCAAGGATGTGGGGGTGGTGAGGGCAGCAAGGTATACACTCATACATTCCTTGTGGGAATGAAAATTGGTGTAATTATTATGGAAAGCAGTTTGTAATTATTATGGAAAGCAGATTCCTCAGAAAACTTGAAATGGAACCACCATTGGATTCAGCTATCCCACTCCTCAGTTTATACCCTAAGGACTTAAAATCAGCATATTACCATGATGTAGCCACATCAGTGTTTATAGCAGGTCAACTCACAGTAGCTAAACTATGGAACCAATCTAGGTGCCCTTCAACACATGAATGGATTTAAAAATGTAGTTGTGTGTGTGTGTGTGTGTGTGTGTGTGTGTGTGTATATATATGTATATGATGAACTATTACTCAGCCTTAAAGAAGAATGAAATTATGGCATTTGTTGGTAAATGGATGGAATTGGAGAATATCATGCTAAGTAAGATAAGCCCATTCCCCCAAACCAAAGGCCCAGTGTTTTCTCTGATATGCAGATGTAATTCACAATGTGGGGGTAAGCTAGGGAAGAATAAAGTTACTTTAGGTAGAGGGGAATAAAGGAAGGGGAGAAGGTATGGGGGCAGGAAGGATAGTAGAAAGTATGAGACATTATTACCATATGTGTATATATGATTGTATGACTGGTGGGATTCTACATCATGTACAATCTGATGATCTATCAAAGTGCACTCTACTGTCATGTATTACTACTTAGGACAAATATTTTTAAAAAAGGTGTTTTACAGAATCCGATGACATTAGATTTCTATAGTTTAAGGGACACCTATGATTTTATTAAAATTATATGATGTGTACATGTTTCTCACGATTCTGAAAATCTTTCTAAAGCCTTAAATGGCTTCCACTCACAAATCAGTGGCATATGGCTCATCCCCGAAGCTTTCACGAGTTACTGTCTTCATTGTTTTCAGAGACTGGCCGATGGAACTGATTGCTTCTGTGCTGTCTGCAGACAATAGTGCTTTGTTGTGCTTTTTACTGTTGTCTTAGCATGATTCTTGCTCTACATGTGCCTCATGCACCAACATGAACCTCTGATGTTCCGCAGTGCTACATACCCTTCATGTTCCATGCCCTACCTGAGGAAGAAYAAGGATGCGTGGTCACCTCTCCTAGGTTCACTTCCTTCAGCAGAAAGCAGCCAGATCATGCTGATGTGCAAATGTCTTGGAACAATCTGGGGGGATGCTGGGGATATAGTTCAGTTGGTAGATACAGCTCAGGTGCTTGCYTTGCATGCATAAGGCCCTGGACTCAATCCCTAGCACAACAGAAAACAATAGAATCCAGGACAGACTGTTAGGTGGCCAGTTGACCATGAATGGGTGAGCAGGAAGAGATCAAGAAGTGCGGCTGAGCCTCAGGAGCCTTATCTGAGTGGCAAACACCTGTAAGATGGGGGCCAGCTAGGTCAAAGCCTCCTCTAGCATTCATTGAGATAAACTATCATTTCTGGACCATGTCATCATTATTTCATGTAACCAAGCCTCCTGGCTCCTCCCTTATCTCCAAAACTAGGTCATAACATATTAAAAGGTAATGAACTAATGAAAGGGCAGGAAATTGAGGCAAAAATAGGGAAATTCAATAAGAAACCCATTAGGGGATGGGGAAATTGAGACAAAACAATGAGACTCAATCTCCCTAAAAACTCCCAATTCTGARCAGTACATCATCCTCTCTGGGAGGAAGTCCATGCAGCTCCTATGATGTAAGTCAAAAGGTGGCATGGACAGGACTCTGGAAACTTCCTGGACCTCCCAGTGAAACTGGAGAGCAGGAGGAGTGTGCTGTCCCTCTCCTTCCTGAGAGGACTCACTCTCTGTCTTCAGTGATCCTTTGCCACTTTCACGTGCATTCTAATGAGCTCACTTCTGTAACACTGAGAAACATGTCTGGAATCTTTCTGGCATGATTGAAAGTCTTGGGGTGAAGGGGGGCTCTTCATGCTGCCTCAATTGTGTGGAAGGCCTCATACCTGTAACATCACCATGGGGTGGGAAAGAGCTCCATGGTTCCAGAGCTGCTCCAGACACAGGCTGCACTGAGGGTGACATGAGCCGTGACTTGGCTCTGTCCGTCTGCCCACCCCTGGGGTACACAGCCTAAGTTGGTGTGGAGAGGGACTTTGCCACATCCTTTCTAGCTTGATTCCATGGGTACTTTAGTTTAAAGAGTTGTGGGGTGAAAATCCCTGTCATTGTCCTTGGGTGCACAGGAGGCCTGGGAGAAAGTGTCCCTGGCTCTGGCTCCAGCTTGCTCCCTGGTGGTAGAGGAAAGACCTGGCTGTCTTCCTGTCCCCAGGCATGCCAGCTAGGACATACCACAGTAGCAATAGAGGAGACCCTGAAATCTCCATGAGAGCAAGCTCACATCAGCCTGCTGGAGGAAGGCGCACCACAGGGAGGAAAGTGGAGGTGCCCCAGTACACAGCCAGCTCACCCCCAGAAGCAGAGCTGTCTGGTCAGCCATCCTAATGCTCACCTGAAGGAGCCCAGCTGAGCCTACCTGAGTCATAAACTAATGACTTTTGGAGTGATTTGTTTTGCAGCAGTAGGTAAGAAATACATAAAGAAATACATGCAGGTAAATTGAAAAGTTTCTCCGTTATGCAGGAGCTAATTAAAAATAAGAGAGGAGGGGTGGTAAAAAAAAAAAAAGGAAGAGAGAAAAAAGCACAGGAGAGGAAATATCAACAAAGTAGAGGAAACATGAATACAACAGACAAAGGGGACAGAGGAGGAGGAAGAAGGGATGGGAAAAGGAAGGAGCAGTGGAAGGGATCTTTCCTATATGCCTGGTCGGGGCATGGTGGATCCTGGCATCAGGCATATCCACAGGACACTAATGATTTTTAAAAAACTACACTGTAGATGAACTGAAGAGATCAGTGGAGTGGAGGGAGGGGTGAGGGGGCAGGGGGAAGTGCTGGGGACTGAACTGGTATAGGTTGATTTCATATCTTTATGAACATGTCAGGGCATATCCTGGTGTTGTATATAACTAAAAGAATAAATGTTTTTAAAAACAGAGAGGAGTGCCAGGGACCAAAGATAAACCCCAAAGGCAAGCTCACAGGACATACTTCCTCCAGCAGGCCCTGCCTGTTTACAGGTACCATCCAGTATAGTGGTTCTTTCAAATGATTAATCCATCAAGTGGATGAACCCACTGATGAAGTTGCAACTCTCAAAAAATAATCATTTTGATAGGAGCCGCGGACAGATGTGAATGGTGGAAACATGAGGTCAAGTGAATAATTCTCTAAAATGGGCCCACTGTTCTGCCCCTCCTCATGCTTTATTTTCCAAGAAGTAATTCATACACACTACTGCCTGGCCTCATATGTCACATTCTCCTCAACAAACTACCTGTTATCTGCAGGAGAAATGCAGGCCCAGAATAATGTCAATAAGATGAACTCAAGTTACTATGAGGGGGGACTTTTGTGACACTTTCCCAGATCAGATCCTAAAGCTCAGAGAGATATGGYTCATTCTCCTTAACTATAAAATTTGTAAGAACAGGTTCCAATCAGAACCAGTCACTGTGGACCAAAGTGACCTAGCACTGTCAAGACAGCGGGGAGCAAAAGTCTGATGTCATTTTATTGTCAGTCAAAAGTCAATATGTGTAACTTTGGAACTCTCCAGGAACTTCCCTGGGACCCCAATAAAACTGGAGGACTGGAAGTGCACAGGTCGCTCTCCTGAGAGGTCCCCCTGTCTCGAGAGAGAATGTCCCCTTTCTCCTTCCTATCCCTTCTAATAAACTCATGCCTATAATTCTGAGCAACTTGCCTGAGACCTTTGTTTTTCTAAAGAATTGGGGTCTGAAAGGGGAGGTCACACTGCCTCAGTTTCCTAGAAGGCCTCAGGCCTATAAAAATTTCACCTCCAAATGTTCCTGATGGGTGTCACATGTGAGCTCCTGGGGAACATCTCGTGTGCAATCCATATCAACATGAAAGGTGGCATATTCTGGACTGAAACGTACTGGAAGATCAGAATGCAGAGTAAATGTCAGAGCAGTCTCCACGAAAATACCCACTAATAAAAACCTACTGTATTGGGTTGATCACATGTTAAAAAAAAAAAAAAAACACTGCACACATTCGTTGAGTAATTTATAATCAACTTCACCTGCTTGAACTTGGTCCCTGTGGCTTCAAGACCTGTGAACTATGCTTGTGGCACACATCAGGTCGCGACTGCAGGCTGCTGCCCTAGAAGCCGGGCTCCCTTGGGCGTCCAAGCGGTCCCAACAGTAGAGGTCAGGAAGGGTGCGCTCTGAACTGCTAAGGCAAAGCTCATGTCGCTTCAGGCAGGAGCAGCACATCTCTTCCTCTGCTTTGCTCCGTTCGTGACAACCATTTCTAAACTCTTCTGCCAGCTTCACAGCGAACGCGTCCCCACAGGGTCAGGTCTCAACGCAATCCCGAGGGTGAACCTGAAAAGAGATGGGTCAATACACCTGTCACTCTGGCCTCTGGCAGTCAGGGATTGGATGAGCTTAGCTGTCACTCACGACGGGGGCGTTGCCTAGATATTGTCCATCAGGGCGCTGGGGCGGAACTGTCCAGTCCAGCGCGCGAACGGACGGCAAGGGCGGGCTTCCGCAGTCTCGCGGGCTTTTCTTCTTCGTCTGCGGAGCTCCTTCCTCGCAGGCCCGCGTCCTCTGCTCCGGAAGCTCTGGAGGCTCTGCGTGGCCTGTGTCTCCCCGCTCGGGTTTTTAAAGATTCCTCGGGAGGTCAGCGAATCACTCAGCAGACCAGAGACGGTGGGTGTGCGGTCAAGACAGGCGGGACCCGATCAGCGCCCGGMGTGAGGTTCAGCTGCGGAGCGTGGGGCGGAGTCCGGGCTGGTGGGTGGCACAGGGCCCTGTCCTGGTGGGCTGGCGCGGGTCCCCGTTGGCGAGTGGCGCTGTCCCCTGTCTCCTGGGCCCGCGGAGTGGGCTAAGCGGCAGCGGGACCCTGGAGTCCAGCCTCTCCCTTTGGCGACCTCCGACCTCCATGGGGCAGTTCCCACAGCCTGCGGCTCCCAGGCACGCAGCGGCGGTGGTCTGTGGGAAGAACGCGCTTATCCGCGCGCCCGGTTCCCCGGGCGCAAGAAGCGGGTCCCAAATGCATTGCCATTCTAGAGCCTGGCTGCTCCTAGGGCGGCAGCAGTGCCTTCCAGGGGTCCCAGATGCAGCTGACTGCACCCTCTGGCGCGCACCTCCTGGACCGTCCGTTCTTAAGGCGACGTGCAGGTGACAGTGATTTAGTTGTGGTAGTTTCACCAAGTAATGGATGGCCTTTTTTTTTTACGAGGGTGAACATTTCTTTCCTAGGAGTGGAAAGCAGAGAGGAATGACCTGAACTTGAGATTAAGAAGCACTTATGACTCTTTATCTTCTCTAAGGACAGATGCCTCATAAATGCCTTTGGGCACAGGTATCTTTTGGCCACTTTACAGGATCCTGTGTCCCCAGCCACTATCCTGTTCTTTCATGGGGGTTGTCACAGAGTGTCTACAGCTGCTCCATGTCCTGCAAGATGCAGGGAATTTCAGGCCCTGGTCAGCTCCTCCTAGAGGACAGTTTGAGGTGTGGAGTGCAGCTTCTGAAGGGAGAAGCTGGAGGCCCTGGGGCTGAGGAATCGCTTGGAGAGGGATACTGTCTCCCCATAAGACCTGTTCCATTCTTTTTTTTTTTTGTTCCACGTATTGAACCCAGGGGCACTTAATCTATGAGCCACATCCACAGCCTTTTTTAAATATTTGGAGACAAGAGTCTCACTTAGTTGCTGCTTAGGGCATCCCTAAGATGCTAAGGCTGGCTTTGAACTCACAATCCTCCTGCCTCAGCCTCCTGAGCTGCTGGGATTACAAGTATGTGCCACTGCACCTTGTCCATTCTTAGGGACCCGCTGGTCAGACAGTGGGATGCTGGTATGAAGGGAGAGGGACAGACATGATTCCTGTCCTCTGGATTCTAGAGTCATGAAGGGACAACAAGGATTCCAAAGCAGGGAAAACTGACCCCAGCAGTGTGGAGCAAAAACCTATAAACTTTTGGCCCAGCCTGTAATCCCAGCAAGCTTGGGAAGCTTAGGCAGGAGGATCACAGGTTTGAAACTGCTTTAGCAACACCCTGTCTCAAAATAAAAAATAAAATGAGCTGCAGATGAGGCTCAGTGATAACAACGACCACTACCACCCAAGAAACTACAAAGGCAACCTGAGGGGGTGGGAGGATGTGCCTGGTGACAGGTGGGCTGACCTGAAGCTGGAGTCTGACAGGTCAGTGTCCCCCTTCCCTGGGTTTGCTGCCTTGGAAAGACTTGCTCACTTCAATTACTCATTAGCTGCAAAATGCCATTTATTAGTAGACCTAAAAAAGATGAGAAAATATTTCCAGAGGGGGCAAGGAAGAAGGGTAATTCAGAAGAATAAGAAAAAGTAATATTTGGTCTAATATTCTGTCAAATAAAGATTCTCATATACTGTTTCCTCCCTCACACTGAGTTTATTGCTTTTTTTTTTTTTTTTTTTTTTTTTTTTTTTTTTTTTGTACCAGGGGTTGAACTTATGGGTGTGTGGAACCAGTCAGTTCTGCAAGCACCCACAGCTCCTGCAGAAAGGACTGCTTTCCTAGGGAGGGGCAAACAGGGTCAGGGAGAAGCTGGAGGGGAGAGCAGCGAGGAGGGGCCCAGGTCAGATCCCAGGTCAGAGAGTGTTTCCCCAGAAGTCAGCCTGTTCTCAAGAGGCACCAAGAAGAAGGGTTCTATGTTATTTCTAGCACCAGTGGGTCAGAGTCCAGGGTCCTGGAGGAAGGAGGGAAACTTGAGTTTGAGTACCAAGTATTTGTTCTGATTCCTGAAGAGGAAACTGTTCCCCTAATTGCTTATGAGGGGAAAAAAAGAGGGGAGGGATTTTCAGTATCAGAAGGTGTCTGCCATGCGTTAAAAAGATGGCAGTCGGCTGCCTTGGACACCAAGGCTGTAATTCCTCAAATATGTTTGTGACTTTGTGCCCAAAGGTGCAGAAGAACTTCGGGCCTGCTTTGGAAAGCCAGGACTCAGCTCTGCCTAAGTGGAAGTGTCCCCTGGTTGGGCAGGTCCCCTTGCAGGGAGGAAACCCTGCCTGAAAAGGGCTGTAGCCAAAACCCTGTCCTTCTGGCCTCATTTATCCAGGAGCCTGATACATCTCCTTTCACTCAGGCCCCAAAGTGTGCATATGTGGGCTGGGACAAGAGAGGGGTCTTCTGGAGCAGGTGGCTTTCTGTGGTCTCAGAGGCCTTCATCTCTCATCCTCTGCAGCTCAGAATCCATCTCCAGGACTGTGTCTTCTCTGCTGTGTGAGGCCCAAGTGGCTCTGGCTCAGGTCTATCTCCTTTTGACCTCCAGGTGCTATGAGGTCCACAGGAAGGAAGTCAGGACTCTCCAGAAGGCAGGAAATGGTGAGTGTGTGGGGCCAGGACTGTTCAGGGAGGTGGGCTGTTTAGAACTGGTGGTAACCAGCTGTGGCTGGATTCTGGCCTCCCACTGTCAGCYCCAGAGTCAGTCAGCCCAGACCTGAGTCTGATGCTGCTACAGCTCAGCCCTTGATGCCTTCAGGCCATGATGTGGGCTGGTGCAGGTGGGTTCCCAGTGTGCTGCCTGGTCTGCAGCCACTTTGGCAAAAACACTCTCTGTGCAGCTTGATGCCAGCCCAGCCCCTCAGTGTGCATTGAAGACAGTGGGCCTCAGGGGATCCTGCCTCAGGTGTGGGGCTCCTGTGTAGAGGATGCTGATCTGAGGAGTCCATGTCCATGCTCTTCACTAGGAGTCAACTTGCCCCCATCTCCCACACCTAATCCCTGCTAGAGCTTTTAATTGATCCTTATAATACCTACTTTGTCCTCACATTTCCAGACTCAACTTCCTGGTCCAGTTCAGACCATTATCCATTCTTTGCTCCTCACACTGCATTCAGTGGGCACAGCATCAAATATTTGTTTCTGTTTGTGAACATTTGCCAAGTGGTGAAAGCAGAGGACAGTCACCTGGAACTCCATTGTTGCAACTCTTGCTATTTATTTCAGGGTGTGTGTGGGGGTACTAGGGATTGAACTCAGGGGCACTCAACAGCTGACCTATATCCCAGTTCTATTTTGTATTTTCATTAGAGACTGGGTCTCACTGAGTTGCTTAGTGCCTCACCAGTTGCTGAGGCTGGCTCTGAACTTGCGATCTTTCTGTGGGGATTACAGGAGTGCACCACCAGCTAGCCCCACTTCACAACTCTTTGGGTCTGTCTTCCTTTACCTTGCCCAGGCACAGAGGCTTAATGCCTTAAGGTAAAAGTTCCCTTTCGACTCTTCACAAGGTCCTGTGTACTAGGCCACTGCCCTTTCATGGGGCTGCCCCAAGGTGCCTATAGCTGACCTTTGTCCTACAGGGTACAGGCAATTTCAGGGTCAACTCCTCCTAGAGAACAGCCTGAGATGTGGGTTGCAGCTTCTCAGGGGAGAAGCTGGAGGCCCTGGGGCTGAGGAATCTCCTGGAATAGGCCTTATCTAGACAGCTGCCTCCTAGGGACACTGTCTCCCCCAAGCCCTGTTCCCATTCCTTGGAGACAGGTGGACAATCAGCCTGTGGATGCTGGTGCTGAGGGGCCAGATCAGCAGTGATTCCTGCCCTTGTAGTCTCTCACAGTTTTATAGGAGGAAAACTCTCCCAGAGCATAAGGACCACCCACCCCAGTGCAGTGCTGTGCAAACCTGAAAAGCCTCATAGACTGGAGTCATGGTCCAGGTCTCCTGGGAGGGTGATCATGGAGTGTTTCAGTGAGCAGGACCAGGCGGGACCTTACCCGCCTCTTGAGCCTGACACATCTATGCTCCCTCAGCACCAGCCCTTTCTGTGTTTTTCACTTTGAAATGATCTGCCCCCTTATTTAAGACCCAGTTTTAAATGTAGAATGTGTTTATTCAGAGCTCAGCAAAGTAAACTCTTCTAAAAGACTTAAAAAAAAGATTTCAAAAAAAGATAGTTTTTTTTTTGTGTGTGTTTGAAAAAAATTCTTATTTACCTTTCTTCTTCCTCTTTCCACATGTAGAAAGTTTGTGAGACCTCACCTTTTTTTATAATTTGATTTCAAATGTAGTTATGTGTCTTAGGATCAAGAAGGCTACTAGAGAAAAAAAATATACAAATAAAAAAATCTGTCATTGTTGCTGCAGAAAATGATTGCATTTCCACAAAAGTTGTGGTAGATAAATTTGGACTACAAAGATTCGTGAGAATATTGGTTCCTTTGTATAATGAAGAACTCCTTACAGTGGACAGCTGCATTTTGCTTCCTGTTTTTTGAACTTGGAAGATAGAATAAATTTTATGGGACAAACATGGCAGTTACAAATCAATTCACTGTCATGGAAATTGTTTTTTTTTTTTTTTTTTTTAAAGAGAGAGTGAGAGAGAGGAGGGAGAGAGAGATTTTTTTTTTTTTAATATTTATTTTTTGGTTCTTGGCGGACACATCTTTGTTGGTATGTGGTGCTGAGGATCGAACCCGGGCCGCACGCATGCCAGGCGAGTGCGCTACCACTGAGCCACATCCCCAGCCCCGGAAATTGTTATTAAATGAAAATTCTGTTGTGTGAACAGAACAGATTTTCATGAGATTACTAATAATTCATGAGCATCTTTTATGATCTCATCTAATTCCAAGTCCCTCCCAGATGCCCCTTCCTAATGCCACCCACTGGGAGTTCACCTTGTACCTTGTGAATTTGGGGTTTACATGGATCTTCAGTCTATAATACTACCAGATATTTTTTTCTACAAACTGTTGGAGACTCCTGGACATTTTGGCTACTCTTAAATGTTTGTCCACTATTTCCACTTGTAGAAATAGTTTTCTGAAGTTCCTCAACAAACCAATCCTTGTCTTGGACTTCATAGAATTTAAGAAATGAAATTAAAGAAACAATCGAGCTGCTTCTCTGCAATTTGATCAAAGTACATGCAATTCATTTCTCCTTTTTATATTGATGCTTATTTTGTAATTTTGCCAGGGTGCTGAATCCATTCATCTGTGGTCCAYGTAGGTTCCCTGGTCTGGCTGCCAGAAACTGTTCACATCACAGCATATCATATAGGCTACACCTTGAGGAATGAATTGGAAGTGTTACCTGCTTCCTCTTAGAGGGGATTAAGGGTAGTTTTCATTTCCTCCTTAGTGTGGTGCAGAATCCACCATGACACCCCTGGGCCATGCCTTTCCTCTGATGATGGTCATTATCATTTCATTAGCCTGCATGTTGTGTGTTCCTCCTCTGGTGTGAGTTGTGGTAGATTGTTTTCCTCCTGGAGTTGGTCCCATTCATCTAAGTTCTCAAATTGGGTCCAGACAGTTATTCATCATATTCCTTTATGGTTTTTTTTCTGCTGAGTAAGTTTTATGTCTCTTTT